GCAGAAAATAACTAGAATGCGGCCGTTATTTATAGGCAAGGCAACACACAAAATGCAGTATTCAACCGCGCTATACATATTAACTTTTTCTTAAACGAAATAGCTTTTCCGCAGAAAGTCAGCTTTTCAAATCGACAAGACAACACACAAAATACAATATTCATCCGCGCTATACATATTAACTCTTTTTGAAACGAAACAACTTTTCCGTAGACGGTCAGCTTTTCAAACCGACAAGACAACACACAAAACGCAGTATTCAACCGCGCTATACATATTAACTTTTTCTAAAACGAAACAACTTTTTCGCAGACGGTCAGCTTTTCAGACCGACAAGACAACACACAAATTGCAGTATTCAACCGCGCTATACATATTAACTTTTTCTGAAACGAAACAGCTTTTCCGCAGACGGTCAGCTTTTCAGACCGACAAGACAACACACAAAATGCAGTATTCAACCGCGCTATACATATTAACTTTTTCTGAAACGAAACAGCTTTTCCGCAGTCGGTCAGCTTTTCAGACCGACAAGACAACCCACAAAACGTAGTATTCAACTACGCTATATATATTCACACAAAACATAGTATTTAACCACGAAGGGAGACAAATATCCTGTTTGTACTAATCCATTTTCTACTTGGTACTAGGATGTGTTTGTCTTGATTTATCCTTTTATTATCTTTTATTTTCATGTATGTTGCTTTAGTTATGGTTGTTGTGTTTTTTTCTCTTGAAGTATTATATTATGAAATTTCAATTTTCATATTGGTCTTCTTTACTAACACCAATAAGTTGAATGTTGGAACTATCATATCATCATCCCAATTGAAAAGGTCATGTTAGATAATAAGATGTAACAAGGCTGTGGAATATAATTTTATTTGATAAATCTTGCAACATAAACAAGTACAGACACTTATTACAAAAAATATTACAAAAACAAAACACTAGGTGTATCCTTGATAGTTGGGTACATTAGACGAACTTGCATCAGGAGCTGGATTACCACCGCCACCCAAATCAGCTGAAGGACATTTACGACGGTCGTGTCCTGTTTGCGAGCATATGCCACATTTACGCGCATAAACGGTATCACCAACATCCATTTGGTTCCGTATACGCGTTCTCTTTTGCACTTGCAGCTTGTGCAAATAGTCCTTGTTACACAGCATTTTAAATGGTTCTGACGGCCAATAATGCTCATCACCCAATGGCTGCAATTGCCCACTATATGTGTTTACGTATGCAACAACACTGTATTGCCTATCAACATAGTTGGTTGCCCCTAAACCAACTTGTTAAAAGTACTTCATGGCATGTGCGCACGGCATGTGGTAGATGGTCCATTTCCCATATGAACACAACCTGCTGGCTTCATTCACGATTTGTAGATTATTCCCCCGGTGTCCGCGGATAGCGGTGCGAACTTCAAAAACACCCCGGTCGTGATCATATTGTAAATATGAATGCCAATGTGCTCGCCTCCTGTATTTCTCAAATCTTCTCATTCGGTATTGGCATAAATGCAACACCCCTGTCCATCAATTCCGATGAAGCAATGTGCCTTTCAACAAACCTCTCCGCCATCTGTTTGAATGTCATCCGGACCATCGCAGTGATCAATCCACGTGCAGACTTTAATAAGCCATTGAATGACTCCGACACATTTGTAGTTAGGGCTCCCCATCGTTTGCCACCATCAGCATGTAATGTCCACTTGTGAAGCTCATGTCCCATCAGCCAATTATAGGCTCTTTCGTCTAACTGCCGGATCGCTTCCATGCGCCTCCTGAATTTGCACTGTTGGTGCTCAGTTGCAGCTATCCACATTAAATCATGCAAGTCCTTGTGGGATATTTCTTCTGGAAATTGGCCTTCAGGTGCCTCACACAGTAACAGTGGTATGCATAGGGTTCCTGCCATTCAGGCAAATGCCGTACAGAACATAAAATACCACCATGCCGATTAGATATTAGACAAATACCTGAAAGCTGTTTGACAACGTGCTGCTTCAAGTGGTTCAAAAATAGCGTCCACGTCTCCGCTTTCATTGGCACAAATGGCAAAAGCTAGTGGAAATATTTGTCCATTGGCAACTACTGCAATGGCGATCAACAACTTAATATCATACTTTCCATAGACATGAGTACCATCTATGGAAATTACCGGACGACAATGCACAAAATCATCAATTGCTGGTTTAAATGCCCAGAACACGTATCTGAATATATATTCTGGTATTCCCGGACTCCGCTCATGCCTCCATTCAACAACAGTCCCGGGGTTAAAGTGTTTCAGTGCGACCATGTACCTGGGTAGAGATGAAAATGATTTATCCCAGTCACCATAAATAATTTTAAATGCACGTTTGCGCCCGAGATATGCCTTTCTTTTGGTTATAGTACCCATATTCCTGGTGGATGGCTGTAATACACTCTTTGATCTTGTACTTAATGGATACTTCCAAGTATGGAATCAAGACAAGAGAAATCAAGTCTACATCCAAGTTGAAGTGATTCTCATTGAATGTGTCCATTTCACATCTGTGGGTGCTAATATATTTACCCACTTTCCACAACCCTGATTTCTTCTTGCTCGCACGCAACATCCAGTTACAACCCATAAAGTCTCTACGGCATACAACCTTGTATACCTCCGGAGTTGACTCCCTTACCGTCATCTCACGGCACTCTCTTATGCTGTAGATTTTTACAGCCCTAATTAGGCGAGCTTTATCGGGAAAATATATACCCTTTGCCAGCATCGTTGGTCAAGACTCATCCCACATTCCTGACCGAAATTCGTCAAGATCCCTTGTGAGGGAATCCACATCCGACATACTTGGAAAATTATCAAGGTAGGGAATATTCCGCTCATGAAACGACACGTGGGACTCGTACACTCTTGGTCTAACGGGAGGTGGAGGAGCATGCTCCCTCGTCAGCTCAGGTTAACATTCACTTCCTCCTCATCATCACCCTCGTCAGGGAAGGGTGTGTCATCTCCAGACTCATCGGCATTGTTGTCATAATCACTATTATCTTCCTAATTCTGCGCATTTGCCAAATCATGAGTAAATACGTCGTCTACGGGCAACTGTGTGAGGTCAGGACCATCAAGTTGCTCGTTTTCACTGCACAAAAAGAACAAAATGATAAGCTACTCAAATTGATAAATACTTTACATATAGCTATATCACTTCACATACAAGTCGTACTGTGTTGACATCCATGATGGACATTTTCTTGTTGATGATGACTCCCGGATGGACCACTGTAATCCAACATGCCAGAACTACGCATATTCCAACTTGGCGTGGGGTCATAACTTGTAAAATTCATATCCGGACGGTACCCCCTGTGGAAAATATGAGTGTTAATACAAATTCAATTCAACAAAAAATAAACATCGTAACAGAAAGGAAAAATTGAAATTTACCAGTCATCTTGTGGATTATGTAAAGCAGGAGAGAAATTATTTCCTCATTGCTCATTCGCCGGTGGTGATAAGTTTAAATCGAGGCAAACTCTTTCATACGGAATCTATCCGGCAAAAACTGCTCCAAAATAACCACCCGACAAACTGGAGGTTATCCCTACTATGCGCAACCTCATTATTGGGAACGTCTTCAACCTTGACGTACATTTCCAACAATTTTATCACAATAAATTCCATGTATTCATCCGAAATCCGCAAAACATCTCTAAGAGTTTCATCATCTTCGATGTTAAACTCAGAATAACAAGCAAATCCATGCGGAGTCACAGAATACGGATATCTACCGGTTACTTTAAGGTTCACCGAACGTTTCCTCACACTTATTTTTTTACGTAACAACGATACCAATTTATCGTACTCCATTGTAAGCGGCAATTTAACATGACACTGTGGAGATAAACTATACCTCACAGAGTTATTCTCCACTACAACCTCACCCCCAATGTAATGAAACTCTTATTTTTGGCTCTTCGGACATTATAAAAAGTGCTTGATAACAAAAAGAAAAGTTTGAACGGAAGTTAGAATTTTTTTTGAATTGATTTTCATAAAATCCTAACGCCTTTAATTAAGGCAAGGCCTAGCTCGGGGGCTGAATTTTTTGATGTACAGCGCGGTATTACACCGCGCTATATCAATTTGAATGATTGTTATGTCAGTAAACCGTAGGAGACTTATTGGTGGGCGCACAAAAAGGTATAGCGCGGTATTACACCGCGCTAAATATATTTGAATTAGTGTTATGTCAGTTAACCGCAGGAGACTAATTGGTGGGCCCACAAACATGTATAGCGCAGTATTACACAACACTATATAAAGCGCAGTATTACACCACGCTATACTTTAACGGCTGAAACACCGTTAAAGTATAGCGCGGTGTAATACCGCGTTATATATTGTAAAGTAACTTTTTTTTTAGCAGTAGAAACGTATTTTGAGTCCAAAACCACAACATTTAGGTTCTGGACTCCTATTGCGAGCACCTAATTTTTGACCGTGTTTGGTTTTTCCACTCATTTTTAGTATTTAAATAGATTCTAAGTTTAATTTTAATATTTTAGTTTTGTTTCACCTTTTTATAGGTTTATTTTAGATAAATTGATAATTACAAAAAAAGAGTTACATATTTTTAGAGTATTAGTTTAATTTTCATTTTACAAAGAAAGAAAAGTTTCAACAAAAAAAAAGGATATAATTTTATTTTAAGTGAGGTTTTGAGAAATAAATATTGAGTGTAGTAATTTTACTTTGCTTTTATTTATTTCTTTAGTAGGAGTAATTTTTTTTTTTAGTAATTATCAAGAAAAGAAAAAAAAGAGCCAATGGAAAATTGTCACATGGCAAAAGATTCTCTCTTATCATTTGATAACTAATTCACATGCACTTCCTAGCAATTTCCTAAAAATAACCCTACCTTAGACAATCACATTCCCCAATCCTTATCTCTCCCACCAATACATTCCCTAAGCTATATTATAAATTAAAGACTCAACACAATTAAAGGGAGAGAGAACGAGAGGCATCAGAAAACAGAGGGCTAGTATGCTCCTCCTCCTTCAACAGAGACAACCATGACAATTAGCTCAAAAATCCCATCCAAAGACCACCTCAAAGCGTCAGCGTCTCCACCACCAAACTAGCAGCTTCACACCTTCATCTTCATCCCAAAAAGCTATCAAAACAGCCTCATTTTTTCACTCAAAAACGCTACCGAAACAAACCCCAAAATCAACTCACAAACCTCCATGAAACACATGAAAATAAAGCCAATAAATACTACTTAAACCCCAGAAAAATTCAGCCATGAAGGCTTCATCTTCCACCCTCAAAACCAGTCTTTCAACCCCATGAAAAGCTGGTCACTTTCAGACATAAAACAGTCCAAAATGTAGTAAAAAACGCAGCTGCTTCATTCGATAAAAACGCAGCTGCTGCTTCTTTTCTTCCTCCAAAATTGACCTCAAACCACCCTTAAACCACTGGCAAAACCAGCCACGAAAATCAGATCCAGAATAGCTTTTTTTTTTTTTTTTTTTTACCGAACAAAACAGCAGCGCCAAGAGTCGAGGTCGACGGTGAAGTCCCATTTCTTTGTTCCTGTTCGAGTTTCCGCTTCGGGTCTTTGTTCGCGTCTATGTAAATCAGCCGGTTCCTTAATAAAAAGGGAAAGCTCTGCTCATCAAAGGTCCATCCTCTGCTTTTAAATTTTTTTCGTTCATGAATAAATTAGTGTCATGCTATTATCAATCGTTTGGTTGCTCTGTTTCGGAATCCTTGAGTTACTATCACGTTGCTTTATATGGTGGAATACTTTTGAGTCGTGTTAACTTTGTTCTAAGAATGTAGGTGCTTAATTTTGAATTCTGAATCCTAAAAAATGCAAGAATGAAGAATACTCAATGTTTGCCGTAGAAATCCTCTTGTTTTGGCTTACGTCTTGTTTGTTTGTGTTGTTAAGGTTTGATTTAATTCTTATAGGATTTTGCATCTCATTCCTCTATAAGCAGTAAGCCATGAATTCTTATTGAGCCTTGTATTGAAGTTTGCTGGGAGCTGGCATTAAATAAAAAATTTATAGTCTTACTTGTTAACAACTAAGAGCCTTGAGCACAATTTGGTTGGCAAATCACTGAGCTATATATTAGAGTTGAGAACAAGATTGGGCCTGGGTATGCTAAGAAGTACAGTTGGTGCATTGCAATATCTCACTTTCACGCGCCAGGATATCGCTTTTGCCGTGAATAAAGTGTCCCAGTTCATGCACAACCCACTGGATTCTCATTGGATTGTAACGAATTTTACATTATTTTAAGGGTACTTCATCGCATGGCCTGCATTTTGCTCGTCAACCATCCACTCTCTTACATGGCTATTGTGATGCGGATTGGGGTGGTTCTATTGACGATCGTAAGTCCACCAGTGGTTGTGCTATTTTTCTTGGAACTCATTTGATCTGTTGGGCATCAAAGAAGCAACGTGCAGTATCTCGTTCGAGCGCTGAGGCAGAGTATCGCGCACTTGCCAATGTAGCCTCCGAACTCACATGGTTGGAGTTTCTACTTCGGGAAATTGGTTGTTTCTCTTCGTCTAATCCTGTGTTATGGTATGATAATCTTAGTGCAACGTATTTAACTGTTAATCCAGTTTTTCATTCTCGAACCAAGCACATGGAGATCGATTTTCATTTTGTTAGAGATAAAGTGAAGAACAAAGCACTCTCAGTTCGCTATGTTGGCTCAAATGATCAAATTGCAGATGTTCTCACCAAAGGGCTGTCTAAGTTGCGCTTCCAGAGTTTAAGGGACAAGTTGACCGTGCTTGCCAACCCTGCTCAACTTGAGGGGGTGTGTAAAGAGTAGAATCCTACTATACCTGAAACTATATGTAGCCTGTTGTATTTAGGATAGTTCATTACTTGGTGTCCAAGTGCTATAGTTTAGTTAGGACTCATAAGCCTCATATGTGTATATATATATATATATATATATATATATATATATATATATATATATATATATATATATATATATATTCACGTTATAGATACAGAGAGATCTGCAGACTCTTATCACCATTCACCAGGTCAACAGGTCATGGAGCTCCCTCTCATTCGACAAGAACTATAGCGAATTTCTAAGCCGACTTTTGATATTATCCTTCCAACCATGCTGTAATCAATTTCGATAGTATCTATTCTGGGTCCAATGGCCTCTTTTCATCCAACATGACCCCTCTAGTGACATGACACATCAATACGATCTAAAGCCACAACCCGTGCAATCCGTGCACCAATAAGCATCATTCCAAATATACTAAAACATGGAAAATGACTCAAACAAGAGAAACGTCCTGCAAGCTTAACGGGCACCACCAGAACGCAATGCTAAGAATCCATCACACACCGCAGAACCAAAACACGCGAATCTAACACAAAGGATCATACCTCAATATAACTCCGCCACATTGTGTGACCCATCCAAACGCTGGTCCATGTTATATACCTCGAGCCACCTTGCTCAAAATCAATAACCATGTGAAATTCGACATCACGCACCCAAAGTGCATTACCATAACCACGGAGAAGAAAATGACACAATGCCACGCAACACCCGAAAGAGCATAACCAATACACCAACAACCAAGTAGTACCTAATACTCTTCTTGCTCGAATTCCGCTATAAGACCCCAACAGAACCGCACCATATGTGCATATAACCAACGAATCACAACAACTCGTAGCATAGAAGAGTAACTCACAGATCATTTCAGAACACTAATAAGCTCAACAACAACTGAATGGTACATCTCTCAACAATAACAGTATGGAGCCAACCAATCCGGCTCGGTGTAGAATACACATCCTAATTAGGCCTACAAATGGACCCCCAAATAAGCTCTAGACACCCACAAATAGATAACTAACCCTCCAAAAATCCGCAATGACTGAATCATAACACATACTATCCTCTGACTAACCTTGGCCACATTTTCACAATCCACAACCATGAAACAATCTGCTCCTAAGAACTCCCAGTCTCCAAATCCATAGAACACACGAATCACCATATCTGATCCCAACTCCGCCGCCCGAATGTCCAATACATCTCTCATACACGATCATTCCATGAGGAATACTTCTATAATTCTTCCGTGCCACTGATGTCGCCCAAACTCACACCAAAAATATAGGTTGTGAGGCGGTCGAAGCAATAATAAAAAGCCAAGCAGGTCAGGGTCGAATCCACAGGGAGTTAGATTTTGGATTAGGTATACACCTAGTGTGACTGTATGATGTGCCCCAAATTATACTTCCAAATTTTCAATTGTTGTTTCTACTTCTACTTTTAAGCTATTGATTGTAATTGTAGGGCTACGAGACAATATTTTTGGTTTTGGTTGTTTTTCAAGTTATGACAGATCTAGGGTTGCGCCTTCTGCCTAGTTGGTACCTAACGGATTTAGAGCTTTGGGGCATGTTTGGTTGATCGGGATACAATAAAGCAATCACACTCAATTACTCACTCTATACCTCTCGGTAGTTTGAGTGATTTTGCCTGATTTGGCTTTCTCAAGTCCAAACAGGTATTTCACAAAGCAAGTGATAGATGCTCTAGTCGGGTCTTACTATCTCTAGGTTCGACCCTTTAATTTGGGCTATCAATTTCTTGAGTTCACCCCAATTCCTAGTTAGCCAAGTTTTCCTAGACTTAGTTTCTCTTTCTCAAGTAGAGACTAAGTCAAATAGGCATGAATCAATGTTTGCAACCATCAATTCTCGAATTCAAGCAAGAACTAGGCTAAATATCATAAACCCAATCATAATTAAGCCCTAAATCAATTGCCCATTAAGTACCCATACTAGGGTTGGGTCACAACCCTAGCTAAGGGTTTAGCTACTCATGGAAAATGAAGAAATTAAAGAAGAAACTAAGATAGAATTCATAATACTTGATTAAGGTAAGAAAATCTAATGTTTAAAAGCTAATCTAGTACAATTTTACCCAATACAGTAAATAAAAACGGCTCAGGTGCACCCAACTTACAAAACTTGACCTAAAAATGACAAAAAGTTCTATTTATACTAAGCTATAAATATATGACGAAATTGCCCATGCGGAGGTTGTGCGGCTGCACAATTCTCTGTGCGGTCCGCATGTTGATATTGACTTGTCAATTGGGCTTTCTGCGGTCTCATAAAACTAGGATGCGACCGCACTTCATTTAATTGTGCGGACCGCACGTTTTTAAGTGCGGCCGCACACTTGAACTTGGACTGGAGCTGGCCTTCATTATGCGGACCGCACATTTATGAGTGCGGCCGCACTTTGGCCTCATGCGGCCGCACAATAATAGTGCGGTCCGCACATCTTCAATCTTCCCAAAAACATGGCTCTTTGATTCTCCTCTTCTGCGGACCGCACAATTTATGAGTGTGGCCGCACTTGGCATCCTACGGCCACACAATAATAGTACGGTCGGCACATCTTCAATCTCCCAACATGCAAGTTCTCTGAAGCTTGTTTTCTGTGGCCGCACAATAAGTGCGCGGTCCGCACTTTGTGAGGAAATTCCATCAGTGCTCCTTAGAGTTTGCGGCCGCACAGAAAATTGTACAGTCCGCACTGTGACCCTTTTTGCCTTGTTTTGGTCCTTGTCTAATTTTTGCTCCTTTTTGAGTTGATTTTCACTTCTTTGGCTCGTTTCCCAATATTCATGCAAGAAAGCACATTTCATTAGTTCTCGGGAATACCTTTAAGCGTGTTTGAGCTAAAACGCAAGTAAAAGAGAGCAAATAAGTAGTCAACGTCTCTACTTATCAACTCCCCCAAACTTAATCTTTTGCTTGTCCTCAAGCAATTAAGGCAATTCCCACCTCCACTAGAAAAGGGCTATTTCAGCAGGCCTAAGGTGAATCAATCACACATCAATTAGGACCAACAATTACCCACAACACGTATGAATTATCAAACAATGCAATGATTTGACTCTTTGAGTATAATAGTTCTAATGTGACACTAAAGCATCAAGAGTAGACTTATTCATCAAGGAAGCTCGCTCTTTCATGTAGGTCATTGTGGATCCCAAACTCCTCCTCTTCTATTCTCTGTTAGCATAACTCACTTAGGAATATAACACTCAAATCAAGGATTGTGAAAAGTTCGCTCATCTCTCTCAAAAGAATGTCACAAGTACGGCTCTAAGTACCATATGCTTACCCCTCATGTAAATCACCACTAATGTAAGCTCACTCAACTTGAAATCATGTAAGGCTTTTTCGGGATGTAATGAAGGCTTTTGGATCAATGTAGGACTTGTTGGGATAGATTCATCTTTCCTTAAGCACTCCATTTTCTCTTTTTGGCTCATACTTTGTTGACTCTTTGAATTAATTTCTTTTTCCCCGGGGGAACTAGAGGGACGTAATGTCACTCTTTCTTGGTCATGATATTCATTTTCTCCTTCTCTACTTATTCCATGCCTTTTCATTCTTGTTTTTCTTTGAATCCCTTCAATTCTTCACTTTATTCAATTTTTTTTGGCAATTTTCTTTTTGTTCTTTCTTTCTTTTCTTTGCCTTCCCTTTTCTTCATTTCTTTCTTTTCTTTGAACCTTTATATCACTTTCAAACTCCTCGTCTCTCCCCCAAACTTATATTTTTGCCAATTGTTTCTCAAGAATGCTAAG